TTTCTCAAAATCACATAAAGTCGTATTATAACATCGACTGAGATAAAGAATAAAATAAAATATTAAAATCACGATTTATCTCGTTGTATTGCGCGAATACGCTTCTAGTAATTTTAAATATGTAATCGACAAACCGCGACACCACCCCCATCCCCTGAAAGGAACGTAGGAAAACGATTTGTCTGATTCCTTAGGTTGATCTCTAAACCAATGCTTAACTATGTAAACAAACTTTCCTTGAAAACGAAAAAGAGAAAATTACATTTTTAGTCCCTAAAGTTTATTAAAAGTTCCTATTTTCATCCATGTGTTTTTTAAATTAAGATTTTCATCCTTATAATTTTCAATTCTTTAGTGTTTTAGTTCTTATAGTCTATAATTTATTGTCGTTTTTATCTTTGTGTTTTATAATTCATTTTTATTTTTTTCTATCATAAACAATGTTCGAAAAAACTAGCCGCAACAGCCGAATTTAGGGGGTTCCAATGGGTACCCATGCAACCATAAAAAAAAAAGTTTAGATATAGAGTGATTTTGTTCTATGGTCCTTAAGGCCGTTGCAGTTTTGTTTGGTTTATCTGCTACGGTGCAACCACAAAAATATCCTCCGGGATCCATCTCTGCATGGCGTGTCATGATTCAAGACTTGTGTCTCACGTTACGTTATGTTTAAGGCACGCCACGGCATAATGTGTGATTTCTGATGTTTGATTGTACTATCTTTTTAATGTCTTATTTGTTAATTTTTAATATATAACTTAATTTAAATTGCTTAATATCATTTATTTATTGAGTAATAGTAGAAAACTTACGTTTTCGTGTATAATTTTATATATGATATAGAGATTTTTCGTTATAAACCACTCCTTGAAAAACGTTGTGACCACGTCATGACTTCCAAAACTTGTGGCTTGACTTTGCCGTCACATCATGTCTCACATTATTTAGAACCTTATTCATAACTAAAGATAGAAATTAGCTTCGGAGACGAATTTAACAATAAATTACAAACCATATAAATGAAAACCACAACATTGAAACCACATGGACTAAATTAGCAATTTGTAACAAACCGTAGGGACAGAAAACGTAATTTATCAAAAAAACCCATGTAAAGGAATCTCATATTTTTACTTTACACCTCAATTTATATCTGTATATAATATTTTATCCCTGTACTTCTATGTGTCCTATTTACACCCCCAAACTTCAATTTTTTATCTTAAGAAAAACTTAACAATGTAAACAAACTTCAAATATTTTCACTTTACACTTTAATCTATATTTGTATTTTACATTTTATCCCTATACTTTTAAGTATTGTCTCACATCCCCAAATTTCAAAAAAAAAATGTTGTAAATGATAATTTGACATCGTAAAATTGAATAAATTTTAGAGAATTAGAAATTATAAACTATTTACAAAGACATAATTACAGTATACCAAAAACGAGTATATAAATGGTATAACTTTAAACTTTTAAGAAAAGAGATGTAAAAAATGAGGTAATACATCGCATAAAAACATAATAGTTAAATACGAGGGCCATCACGACAATGTTATGTGATAAGAAAGTCCTGTTAGAACTGAAGAAAAACTATACGTGATAATCATCAGACTAAGGGGCCGTTTACCAAACGCTTACCCGGATAAACGCTTATCAGGTAACATTACCTCACTGGATGAATATGATAAGAATCAAGAATCTTATCCGGTAAAAGCAAAACAAAGACCAATAGTCTTATCTGGTAAGTAAGGACGATAACTCTTACCACGGTAAGTACTTACCGTGTAAATTGTTGCATAATGATGTCGTTTTGGTGGACTACATCTTACCCGATAAGTAAAATAATAAGGTTAAGTTTTACCGGTAAGAACTTAACAGGTAAGTTTTTGGTAAACGGCCCCTAACTTTGTTGTATGAATAAGAGTTTCGGATAATAAAGAAAGCTCATAAGAATAAGAGTTTTAGTTCATAGATCAACGAGACCATTTTGAAAGTATAGGGGTCTTTATTGGCAATATGGATAAGGATAGGGTCCTAAGTGTAAAATATGTTTTGATTTCAAACTGCAGTCAATACTTCTGGACCCACACCTGCATTCACACGGTTGTATAGAAGTTCGGGTTTCTTCGATATTTGTGCCTGCCCTTTGCGACCCACTCTGTATATATAAATATAGATCCATCGATTGATCAATACACACACCTTCAGATTTAAACAACGATCACTTTTGAACAGTCGATTTGAGATCTTTCTGAATCGTACATCCTGATCATGGCCGAAAACGATGGTGCTGTTACTACTGAACGGGAGGTGGTACGTAAAACGTTCGTCTTTTCTGATGTTTAATTGTGTGGTTGATTTGATTTGGTTTTAATTTTAGGCTTCGATGTTGTTTTAATTGGTTTCTTGTGCAAGAAGATATAACTTGTTGCTGCTTTCGAACTGATTACTGATTACTGCAGTTTGTGATTAGTAATTGAAAAAGTGATGAGAGATTAGTTCGATTCTACAGTTTTGATCCTCTAAAAAGTCGCCAATAAACCTAAATAACGAGGACGATATCGATTTTTATTAATATGTAAATTATTTATCTTAATCACAAATATTTTTTGATAGTAATTGAGCCACCAATTTGAAATATATTCCTTTCCGAAATGAATCAATGATGATGCTATGTGTCTAATATAATCCGATCGCATGCTTGCTGAAGATTGGATTTCATCAGCAGTTTCATTTGGATCTGAATTCTTTGAAGAGGTGGGATGGCATACCTGCGGACATAGATGTATAATTATTAATTTTTATGAATTTTTAGACCCTAATGATTTTGATGAAGATCCTTAGTGTGTTAGAAACTGTAATTCTAGTGAGATTGATCCTACAATAAATTGCTAGGATAGGGAAATAGACTACTTATATATGAATGCAAGATGGTTTAGTGCTAATCTCCATGAAAATATTTACAAGAAGAAAGAAAAGATTTAGAGAGAACAACAAATTGATTAATTGACTATTACAGAGCTAACTAGCAACAACCTCGTTGCTATCAATCACTAATTCTTCATTGGGTTATTTCGGATATTACAGTAGAGACTTGCATACAAGTACATGAGTCAGGCAGAAGATCTAGTAGATGTTTGAGTACCAGCCTTTTTTCATGCTTTTCCCCGAGGTCCGGAGAAAGCTGAAATCAATAGGATTTCCGTAATCCTCCCTCAGGAAGAGCGTGAAATTCTTTAACGTACGAGCTAAATTGGCTATTTAGGAGAATAACCTTCTGACATATTTTTGTTAATGCATGGCATTTGACAGATTTTGACGCATTCTTGTATCAGGAAGAGACATTCTTTGTTAGGCAAAAGCATTCTTAAACCAATCAGAAGGTCGTTCATTTAAAAATAATCTGTTAAAAGGTTATCCTCCTAAATAACCCTTCATTAATTAGACAATCCCATACACACACTTGGCCTCTATTATGCCCACACATATGGTGAAAATAGGATATCAGCAGTGCTGAGAAGAAATATAGCCATGCATGAAATGATGAAATTATGTGTTTGAGTGACTGGAAACACGTTTCTTGATAACAAGACTAATAGGATCATATGGGAATTGAATCGATATTGGTTTCTTCTTTTGTTTACTAAAGGTTCAGAGCGAAGAAGAGACTTTGAAGTACCTGCAATTTGTGCAAGTGGCATTGCTCCATGCAGTTCTTTAYGCATCAAGGGTCTATGGTTTTGCTAAGCAAAACTCTGGCCCCCTCAAACCTGGYGTGGAGACAATTGAGGGTGCTCTCAAGACTGTTGTGGCCCCKGCATATGATAAGTTCCATGGTGTCCCTGTTGAGGTCCTCAAGTTTGTTGATCGTAAGGTTAGTTCTTCTACGTTTTATTATGGTAGTCTCATTGATACTTAATCCATGAGATTGTTTTAGTCATTGGTATTGATGGAATATTGAATTTTGCTACTTTCTTGTTGCCTGGTGCTGCTTGTTAAAAAAATATATATAATATTTATGAACGGCAAAACTCACACACTTCTCACCACTAATCTCACCTCTAATCAGGCTTGAACCTTGACCTCAAGGGAGGTTAGAATCTACTAGTAACCTGGATACCATTGGGCCATTTGGCCTAACCAATGCATGTGGTTCATGAAAAGCASCCTCTCCATATGAACCGTACAAATTCTAGGCTATCCTAAAAGGGTTSGATAACGCAGCACCTAGGGAAAAATCAAACTTGAGACCTCATGCCATATTGGACACATTGTCTTTAGAGATTAGCTGCTAGGCCAGCCCTTTGGTGTTTTCTTTCTCTATTACATCCTAAAGTTTTTGTCACAAACAAAAGTTCAGCATCTTTAAAAAGGTACACACCTGTTTTAAGAAAAGAAGTGCACACACTATTCACCTTTTGATGGAAAATGTGTTTAAAAGCTGTTGGAATTCGAATTTATTTGTTTGGAGATCAAGAAATGATTTGACATCATTCATTTAGGTGGCTTTTCTTGCGATGATTATTATTATATCAGCTGCTTGATTTATTTCTGCAATACACCTTTTCTATGTTAATTGAATGGCAGAAGTTCTAATCTAAAAATGATATCAACCAAGTATTTTAGTTTTTATTGAATTCTTTCGTTGTTGATACACAACCTTTTCTAAGAGATTATATGATATCGTCTGAACTCTAGAAAAAACTTAAACATATTCCTCAAGTGATGAGTATCGAATTTGAGATGCTGATCCTCTTGTGACATGATTGCAGGTTGATGAATCTGTCACCAAATTCGACGGTCGGGTACCCCCTTTTGTGAAGCAGGTATCAACTAAAACCAAAAGCCTGTCGAACTCTGGTGTGGTGGAAACTGCATCTGGGCTTGCAAAAAGTGCGTACACGAAGCTAGAACCGACTGCCAAAGGACTGTATACAAARTACGAACCGGTGGCTGAGCAATATGCTGCTTCGGCTTGGCACTCACTTAACCAACTCCCACTCTTCCCTAAGGTGGCYAAGGTGGTTGTACCAACAGCTGCTTACTGTTCTGGAAAGTACAACCAAACAGTGCAGCAAACAGCAGAGAAAGGATACAAAGTTTCTTCATACCTACCATTGGTGCCTACTGAAAGGATTGCTAAGGTGTTCAACTCGGCTGAACCACAATCAGAAGCGGTGGCTCCCAGTGGAGGGGATGCAGCCATGGTGGCTCATTGATGGTTGGTTTATGATGAAAGATGGAAATATTTGTTTTGCATTTATGTCTTGGAAGTCGTATGACATTTTTATGAAAGTTTGTTATGTTGAAATGGATCCTCTTGTGATATGTACAGTTTAAGGTTTGATAATATGGTGTGATTAATTTATGTGGATGAACATTTTTAGAACCATAAAGCTACTACATAATATTATCAAATTTGATTCGATTGTAAGGGGTCGTTTATTAAACGTAATCAGGGTAAGTGTTTACCAAGTCACATTACCTTACCGGATGAATACAATAAGCACCAAAAATCTTATCCGGTAGGAGCTAGCCAAGGACCGAGAGATAAATGAGGACGATGACTCTTGCCATTGTCAGCACTTACCGGTAAATTGTTGCATACAATGCCGTTTTGATGAACTAAAATATTATCCGATAAGTAAGTGATACAATTGAATTATACCGACAATTACTTAGTTTGATAAACAAACCTAAGTCTCAGAAAAGTCCCCCTTTTGGTCCCCTGCAGAAACACCAGCGAAATCACCCCCGGCGGAGAGAGGGGGTTGACCTGCCACGGCTAATTCATAGCTAACGAGATCCCTCAAGGTTTCTATTTGTATTTTATAGTAACCTTGGTTCATAATTAATGTGGGGTGTTTGGGATTGCTTATAAAAACAATTTATTGACTTATTCCGGTGTGACACCGGTAATAAGCACTTTTGAGTGTTTGGATAAACAACTTATACCGGTGCCAAACCGGTAATAAGGAGTTTTTGAAGAAGTTAAACCCTTCTGACTTATAATAAGTTAATAAGTGTTTTTGTAGAAAAGCATAAGTTGTTTCAGATAAGCAATCCCAAACACCCCGTAATGTTATGATGAAGTTAATTTAAATACTTTGAATATATAATATAATGATTAAATATTATTAAGTATTAAATATTATGAATTAATATTCACTATTAAATATTAAATACTAGGGGATACTAAATGCTAATTGTTAATTATTAATTATTTCTAATTAATGAATTATTAAATGTTAATTACTAGAGAGTTGAAATAAATATTGAATTACTATTATTTGAACTCAACTCAACCCGTTAAACCCGATATCATTTTATTTTTTGGATTTAATATGATGGTTGAATTTATATTAATATATATATTAGACAATTATATTATCACATTAACTCTTCATATATACATATTTTCAATCTACTCTATATTTTTATGTAACTCTTGTATGTTCAGTAATTGTTAACATATATATGTAACTGAAAAAATTAACTGAATGTGATATACGTAACAAGTATGGATAAGTTGTATAAAATGGTTGATGATGAAAAAAAAATTATGAAAAAAATAGCATATTCAATAATAGAAGAATATTTTAATATAACAAATATCAACCTGACCAATCTATTACAGTTTGGTTTAGTTTGAATTAAGTTAAGATTTTTCAAATAACAAACATAGAATAAATTGGGTTATTTAAATCTTTTCAAACCCGGATCAACCCAACCCGTTACCACCCTATTCATAAGTGTGTAGGTGACTCCACTTTGCGGAGGAAGAGGACAGCAGGAGCACACGTGGCCATGGGGAATCCATCATCATCTTCATTTCCCTTCAAATTGGCCTTCATCCTCTCATTCTCTCTCACTGCTTCTTCTTCTTCCTCTTCTTCCTATTCCTCTCCCACGCCCCCCAAATCCCATTATCATTACCTCTCACTTCGCAAATTTAACTCCAAGAAAGCCTCCACCGCACCACCCACCGCCTCCGCCGGAGACATACTCTCACTCCTTGGAACACCTCAACAAGCTTCCTCAGTCAACCCCAAGGTTGCCGCTGAACTCCGATCCTGCTTCAAGTTCCTTGTTCCTTTTAATTCTACTACTAGTTCCCCTTCCAATTTAGGAAATCGGCCTAGTAAATCCTCAATCGATTCGGAAATTCGGTTCCCGCGGCGGTCGCTGAATTCGAAATGCCGTTCTGACTCTTGGAGCGATAAGGATGAGCTCGTGTGGTCACCGCCGGCACCTGTATTGGAGATCGCTCGACTTGCTTTTGATTCTGGTGGTGATCCAGGGTGTATTCAACGTACCCTTGATCCCACGATGATCGATGTCAGTTTTCTATTCCCTTATTTAGAATTTTTATGCTATTAATACGCTATGGTTAATCGTGATCATTTTCCGTATTCACATTTGTAATAATCTTATCAACTTTTGGGAGGAAATTTGGTAAGCTTAGCGAACTGTGTAGCAGGTTATTACTGCTACAAATTTGGAAAATTTTCCGTAAAGCCGATAGCATCATATTCCTATCAATCATCAATCCAATGGAAGAAAGATTTGGTCCCCTTGATTCTTGGAGAAAACCATGGATTGAATTTAATTCTAACTATAAGTTGTAATTCGATTTGTTCTTATTTTTAATCAACTGTTACATTAAAAAATTGTAGATACATCTGCTGACATAAATCTTTGAAACGTAGACTTTAGCTTCAGAATCATAGATGGCAGATCGTGGGGCATCGTTTTTGTTTCTTCTTGAAGACTGAGGATTGAACTCTCTTTATGTAATATGTAGGGTGTAAAGGTCTCCGTAGCCCCAACACTCGAAAAGGGTGCTTCCAAGGTTTCATTGCTTAGTGAATCACTTGCCGAGAAATTTTCGGTGTATGCAGTTTTTACTCTAATATGTTACACTGAAAATAAAAAACAACTTGAGTAGAATTCTAGATCACGCGAAGGGAAGAAGTACAAAGTAGACTGTTAAAAATCATACTGCTGGTTATTGTTCTACACAAAAAAAGGGTAGGCGCCACCCTCTTGAACGCTCCCACCACACTAGTCTCACGGTCATCATGGGGGAGGAAGATCGCATTCTCCCTAATGGCAGGTCATATCAGCGGGGATATTATTCTATACAAGGAACAGTAGAGGGTATCACTAAAGAGTAGCTAACATAGACAGGAAAAATGATCCTTAGGTATGGAACGTAGTTTGTGTATTTTATGCAAGCGTTTCTAATTTTCAGACAGTTCAATGAACCTTGAAGATGATAGGCAGATAAAATAGCTCATAGAATAGTGAAGAGGCTTGTATGTAGGTTCATATGATAGCATTGAAGGTTCACATTAGAACCGATCCCTCCACATCACTGCAAAAGGTTATTAGATGGAAGAAATATGTTGCTTCTTCTCAGTAACTCTTTTTTGGATTCTACTATGGATGTGATTTATTGAATGTTGGTAATGAAAGCTTCTTTTAACAATGTCACAGATACCTGATGTTCAAGGATCAAACAAAAATCGATGTCAACTTACAAGAACTCCTTATGGAAGACGCTTTATAAACGAGGTTTGCATCATATAAGTGCCTAGTTGAGAGCTCAAGTATATGAACTCTGGTAATCTTCTTATTGTTATTTTTATTTTGGTTGATTTTATTGTTACATTAACATCTTACAGGAATTGAATTCATACATGGAATTTTTGTTCAAACTTATTGCTGCCCGTGGTCCCAAAGTTGGGTTGCATGTATCATTAGATCGATATGATTTCTTTCATGGTCATCTTTTCATTGCCGCGGATGGAAGAGTTGGCATTTTGTAAGTTGATAGCATCCACTATTGTTAAATAGAGTAAAGAAGCCATAGTATCATAAAATTGAGTTTGTGAAGATGTGAAACAAAAGAGGGCACGCATCATGGTTCTATTTTCTTCAGCCTCCATAAGTGTTCCACCAAGTTTAATGTTTGTTTTCTGGTTTTCTTTTGTACCATAACTGGAATGCTATCTAGATATACTATCATGTATCTTCAGCCTTTGATCATCAAGATTTCACATATTGGCAGGTTTCATGCTAAAGAATACCCAGCATATGATAAAGAAGTGTTCCCATATAACATGGGATATTGCCAAGCAGGTAGGTATACACTTGAATTTCTACAGTGTTACATTCTTTTTACCCTTCAATGCTTTATGGAGGCCAGGTCGGAGTAATCTTAATTCTCTAGAGTTCATGAACTAGGACAAAGAAAGCAGCCCATGTGTATGCAAGCAGGGTAAAGATGCTTGCAGAAACTCTCTTGAATGCAGCCATATTAATTTCCTTGTTTGGAATACTTTTAATATATAAAGATGAGGTAGTTTTCAGCTAGCCAATTGTTATTTTGGTGCTTTTTGTTTCAGGTTCTAATGTGACATATGATGATTCGATGAATCTGCGGAACATTTTGTGGTTAGCTCCTTTGCCGAGTAATTCCAGCGGTTGGTCTGCACCTGGTATCTCATTTAACCAATCAATCTAATTGAGTGACAACACTTGGCTTTATCTTTGTGAATTGAAACTGCTGCTTTTGGTGATTAGTGGACACTTCTGAATCTTATCAGAATTTTCCCACTGTACATTCTTGAACTTGAATTTTCATGCATGTAGTGTTGTTTTTTTATATGAAACAACTACTTGCCCAACTATGTGATGGAAACGAACTGAGATGATGCAAGGGTTCATTCACTAAATTTTATCCAAGAACTTGATTTGATATGCACCTATAATACCCATTATATGCACTCGATTATTTGGTGGCAGGAAGTGAGTTGCTGCTGTTTGAAGCATACAACCACAACCTAGTGTCTCAAATAGATATAGCACTGCTACTTATATGACAATGTCTATGAGCAATAACCTAGCATTTAGACTTTACCATGCCAGCATAGTTAAAAGTGCACGTCTTTCTACTATGAATTTGGAAGAGGTGATACTTGGTAAACAATTTGACATATTCTCTCCCTCCCATGAATGCACTGCACATACCTTTATGAATTGGTTCAGAGCAATTTCTATATCCATAAAAACATGGTACTTTAGTTTATAGAGTGACATGTTCTAACTCATCCCTTATTCTGGACTAGTGCTAAATTCCTTGTGTTGGAAAATAGCATCTTGCTTTATTTATTTCCTACAAATAGGGAGTGATGTTGTTAAGTTAATTTACGTCCTTGCATTGGAAGAAGTGGATGCTCCTGAGTTACTTATCAAGTATCTACGAGAATTATACAGTTTGGAAGGAAGACTTGAGCCGTGTGTGTCTGACTGACTTGATTATTATGTTAATTTGGTAGGGGTGCTAGTGGTATTGGATGCGCATCCAGGAGGAATCATCTATCGAGATATAATACCTGAATATGTAGATTATGTCAGAACGATATATGAAGGTTCCATCCTTACATTATTCATGATTGACTTTGACCATCTAAAACTAGTAATAAATTTCTGAATGATGGAAGTTTGTTTTTTTTTTCTTTTGGCAGATGATTTTGGTGATAACGTAGTTGATGTCAACTACCTAAATGCAGAGGCTGACTATCAGATATTCATTTGCTAATACTTGACCCATTGCAGGTATGATTTTTCAGAAAACATTTAGTCCCTCCTGATGATGTGTTGGATATTGAAGATGAGGGCCCAGAATTAAGAAACAAACTATTATTACCTTGACCACCTGATGGAAAGGCTTTGGTTGTATTGCAACTGAGAAACAACATAGGTTTGGAAAAGGAGACTTTATGAGCTTTGTGCCTTAAATAACAATTTCCAATCAGATTCTTAAGGAAAGAATGTTGTAACTGGAAAAAGAAACATACCACATGAAGGTGTCTTTCAATTTCATTGCTCCAAGATCCTTTCTGCAAACATCAGCTATTGGATCATGCTTTTGGCGCTTAAAACCAGACTAACCCCGTATATTTCATTCACAAGTAGGTCTTTATTTCCGAAAAGACCCCCATGAGAATATTGAAGGAAAAAAAGACTATTTTATCCTTGTTTCGGAAAATGGGTAAATGTAAAATCCCGTCATAATAATGTTGGAAAGAGAGATACAAGATCTCATCTTAATTTGACTGAATGAAGATTATCCTTCGGAATTGTGTCTACATTCGCTACTACAACTTTCAAGATTCTTTTTTCTTGTGTGAAATAAGAAAAAGAGTTGTATTTTGTTGCAAAACACTTACCCAGTGAGAATTGTTATCAGGTAATAAGATGTTATGTAGGGATGTATGTGGGTTGGGTTGGGTTGAGCGGTTTATAACATTTTTACAATCCAAACCAATTATGGCGGTTTAGAAAAATTTCAACCCAACCCAACTCATTCAAAAGTATAACCCAACCTTTGTGAGTTGAGTTGGGTTGACGAGTTAGTAATTACATAAATTTAACGAATGAAATAATTCATAAAACTTAAGTTTATAGACCATATTATAAAGCGTTCTATCTAAAAATGTTACAATAGGTTTATAAGACGTTTTTTGATGTTTCAACAAGTGTTTTAGAATGATCTTTAAATAAAATGTCGTATTAGTTATTTTATAGAAACATTTAGAGAAGTGTCCCGTAAACTCATCTATTTATAGACCTATGTTCATACGACACTTTTTTAAGTCGTGTAGTATAAAATAACTTCCACGACACTTTAACATAGAATTTGTTGAGACGTCCAAAATCATCTTATAAACATATTACAACTCTTTTAAATGAGACATTTTTCTTGTTTCGTCTTATAAAGTATCATATTGTGACGCTTAGACATTTTAGGCATCCTATAAGATTTAATGTTGTAGCGAAATACTATAATTAAGCATTTTTTTTCACTAAAGTACAACATAAAATGACGAGGTATTTAGATTGATTAATTCATCAACCAAATATCTATCAATATCGTTCATATTCTCCGACATATCAATTTGTTGTTGCTGAATTTTTTCTTATTAACTAGATTACTTGTCATCATTCTTTGATCGTGAATCTTTTTTGGTAATTTATACATTTAGCCAAAATGAAATATAAACATAATATCAATAAAAATTATAAAATATTGATATATTATTAATATATATATATATATATATATATATATATATACACATATATAGATAATAACATATATATAAATATAATTTTTATATAAAATTATATATGAGCGGTGGGTTGGTCGGGTTGAACTTGGCCGAATCCAATTTCAACCATCCTAATTGGTGGGTTAGTAGTTAGGTTATGTGAATGCAGTAAGATTATTAAATATATGTGTTTTAGTGTATTTCGGAATGACACAAATACATAGAAACATATGGATATGACTGACGTTGGTTTCAAATGACACAAACAGCAAAATACAAATTGGAAATTTAACAAAAAACTTCCATTGCCGGGAATCGAACCCGGGTCTCCTGGGTGAAAGCCAGATATCCTAACCGCTGGACGACAATGGAGGGACGTTTATGAATGCCACCCAATACCTTCTTATAGACTTTACTGAATTTCAAGTTACAGAAATTACGTCTTTCGTCCCTGTGGTCTTGAAACTTCGATATTCATCCCTATGGTTTGCAATTCATTTCTATTTTTGTTCTTAAGGCCAAAACACTACTTTTAAGTATGAAAGACTAAGATAATATTTAAAATTTAAACCATGAGGACGAAAAAAGCAATAAATTTTAAATCATAAGGATGAAAAAGGTAATGAATAATAAACTACAGGGATGAAAATTATAATTTCAAAACTCATAAGGATGAAAATAGAAATTTTCAAGAAATCAGATTATTGAAATTATTAAAGGATAATGAAAATGATTTAGGTCATACAAGTATGACAATTATAACTTAATTTATGGGGTGTTTGATCCATTTTAAGGAATAAAAATGAAAGTGAATACGTATATAAATGAAAAATGGGTGTATTATTGTCTTATATTTCATTACATTGCTTGACATTGCTGATGTTTGTTTGGTCATAAAAAACCAATACTGGTTAGGAAAAAAAAGTTCAAACCCTAACACACCAGCTCCCATCTCTCAGGTTTGCAACTTTTACCCATAAAAAAATTACGTCAATCTTCAAATCTTGAATCCATAAGAACATTTGGCTTCTTTTACTTAAAAAAGTACTTCAAATCGAGAAAAGAAGTGGCGTTTATATGTTTTTCAAATCATACAGAAAATCGAGAAAAAAAAAGAGTGGCGAGATAGATTAAAGAAATATAAACTTTTGACGGATAGTTACTAATAGTAATTATATAATAAATAATAATAAATTATAGGTTATCTATTTAATTAATTAATTAAAATTATTGTTATTATTCAAATATAACAATTTTAATAATATTTTTTATAAGTTATATAAGATTAAAGATATATTTCTTATGTTTTATATATAACTAATACTTAATAAATGGTTTTAAAATAATTTTTTTTGAAAATTATTAATCAAAGACCATACGATTGACAAACTCTGTTTTTGTTTTCTTTCATGTAACGGGTATTTATTTCATTAATTTTTTCTAGAACTTGTATTTGTTTACACAAATCCACATATATAATTATGTATAATTAATAATTAAATTGAAGCTGTATTAATTAACAAATTATAGTATTTAATTTTTTTTATTATTTAGTTTGTATTAATTAACATATTATATTATTAGTATTTTGTATTTTTTTTGCATGGACTGTATGTTGTCTTTCCAATCACTGTGGTTTTATTGTGTTTTCTACAACTGTTCGTCTAACTAACATGATGGTATATATGTTCTATATCATGTATAATGTATTTTCTATATGTATAATGTGTTATGTATGTTATTTTGTATCTTTTCTGTTTTTCTGTTTTCTATATTATTTTCAGTTTTCTGTATTATTTTTCTGTTTTATGTGGATTTGGAAGATGAAAGTGATAGTGATTATGGATACGATTGTGGAGCTATACAACTTGATCATGCTACGGGGAACTATAAATTGTAGATTGATATGTTTTTAGATTTATAACTAGTATTTTATGAATCTATGACGTTTAAAGTTTGGTATGGAATTATGTTATGCTTACTTTTAGTATTTATGAATTTTATTTGTTTTACGCCTTGAGGCTTACGCCTCGGACCACCTCGAGGCTTACGCCTCAGGGCGTGGAAGAAAACGCCTCGAGTCCCGATTCCGCTTTTTAAAACCTTGGATGTGCGTCCTCATTTCCGGGCAATGATTGCACTCTATCATCTTATCAGTTCCCAAAATAACTCTCCACTCCCAAGACCTGAGTTCTGGTGACTAGAGGGCGTGTAAGAGTGTTGGAGCTGAGGATCTCACTTCCAATGCAGGGTGCTAGACAAAGAGTAACTACCAAGAAGACTCCCACAACCGATTCAATGAACATGAATGAGCTGATACTCCTGACAGAAGTTGGATGATGATAAAAAGGAAATCCCTGGAGGAGGTGGTGCCACTACTGGTGGCCTGACTTGCATCTAGTGTCAGTGCGATGATAATGCAAAAGGAAAGAAGCAAGTTGGCGGCTCTACATACAAACCAGGATGATCACTTGAAATGGGAGCTGACCTGTTTTGATCAGGTGAAACGTGCAAAATCTGTTCATGCTAATCCACTAGGCAGGCAGAGGAGCAGGATGAGCATGTCTGGAGCACCAGTGGTTGTGGTYAGCCCTGTACAGTACTACAGATTTACCTCCGGCCAGWGAGTCTCTGTTAGATAACATTGGCTTCTGGTTGAGATCTTAAATTACACAGGCTGGTGTGTGGCTGGCAACAACCTCTTGCTGTTGATGGCTGGGAAGCATACTACTGCTGTCGGATGAACAGCAGTAGTAGGGCTTCTGTAGGAGGCAAAATCGTTTAGAGGGACTAGTGTTTAGCTATGATACCATGTTTTGGTTATGATTGAATTATTAGAACTCAGGAGAATCCTTAATAAATGAAATAATGATACACACCTGAATTCTTGTATAACATAACTTAAAAACCTAACAAAAAATAATGTATACTAACACTTACTTATACCAGAAGCTGACAATGTCCACCGAAGAGGATTATCATCCATGGCTTCGCTAAGTAGCAGGAAAGAGCTTTTGAAAGGTGATGGAGATCACATATCCAGGAAGGAAGTAATTTTTTTTTTAATCTTTTTGGGATTAAGTTAGGTTTTAATTGGGCAAGAAGATATGCATATTTCTCCATACTTGGTGATATTGATTATCCAGGATTACTTTGTTATATTTTATTTCTCATCCTGGAAGTTTTAGCCTTCTAGTCTTCAATGTAATGGTGTTGTAATTCCCCAAGGTTTTGATCATCGAATGACTGAATAGTTTGTTAATTTGTTTGTCGAGTGAACCAACCTGGGTATGAAACCATCGGATTTAGAGATATAGATCGTTTTGTGAGCCAAAGGAAGTATGGTATGTGAACTTCAAGAGAACCTACAGCTTTGAGGTGGGACTTGTTGGGATCCTAGTTGATTTTTAGTTTCCTCATTTTCTAACCCTAGTCATGTCTTACATGATCGTAAGGTAGTAATATGGATAAAAACTTCCGAGGAGGAATAAAAATCCCCTTGTGGCCACGGAGGTTCAAATGCGGTGACTCCGGGCTATCTGCAAAGCAGGTGGTCGCCCTGGGATTAGTCGGCTCGCATAACTGATTGGATATCCAAGTTAATTAAAAAAAAAAAAAAACTTGCTCAAGAAGCACAGTGGTTCAACTTTAACCAAGTTGATTCTAGTTTTTAATCTATGCGATCTTAAGTAGAACTTGGTTTGGTTCCATTTTTCTTCTAATCTTCCTTTCCCAATTGTTGTTGGGTGTAAACGTCATAGGTAATATCGCATTGTCTTGGTGGATTATCATAGGTGTGACTGGAATATGACTTGTGGTTGTCATGACTCATGAGCTGCTACCCAGATATGCCTGTGCATAATTCAAATTTTATTTGGGACAGAGACTGTTAACAAAATGTTCTTTTTTTGATGGTGAATTAGGTAGTGTAATGAAGAACAGTTGGGGTGAAATGTAACTGTATATGGCAGGTGTTATTGAAAGTTCTGTTGAATTCTAATCATGTTTTCTAGTTGTGTTTGTAGTTACCATATCTAACTCAGATCAAATTTTAGTCTCTTTCTTTCCACTTCTTTTATGCCCACCTGGGAGCTTGGCTTTTCATGGATAAAGATGACGTGGCTTGTATGAGCTTGTGTTTTGGCTTCTAGATCTTSTTTACGTAACTATTAATATATTCTGATTGCTTTGTCAAAAGTTTGTTTATGAGCAGCTTGCTTGGCAACTCTCTTTTTTCCAGGATGATGCARTCTTTAGGGAGTGAAGCAACAAAGTCAGAAGACGCCTTTATGCTGCTTCAAGAAACTCAAGAATCTGTTAGGCTTTCATTTTTGAACTGTTTGCTTGATTTTGCTGGTATGGACACGATTACTTGCTGCCTGTTATTCACTTGTATTCTGTTAACTTATGATCCATCCCTATGATGCACATAATTAGGTCATCTGGAGCAGATTGGAAGCAAGCTCAGTCAGAATAGATCATATAAAGAAAGCCCATCCTTCCAAAATGGATATCCTCTTGATCTAGAAGAAAATTCATTTGATCCTCTCCCTGGAAGTATAANTCAGAATAGATCATATAAAGAAAGCCCATCCTTCCAAAATGGATATCCTCTTGATCTAGAAGAAAATTCATTTGATCCTCTCCCTGGAAGTATAACTCATCCACACCAACAGCTGTTGATGGTCTTGAGTAACCTTGGATTTTGCAAGGATGATCTTTCTCATGAAATGCAAACACATCTGGATGCAGTCCAGGTACATTTGTGTAGATGCTCTTTCATCCTTTTCATGCAATTAATATCTGGGGTAATTGTTGTATAGTACTGTCCCACAGAGTTCATAAGGTTTTGATAGAGCAGAACATGTGGTTCAATACAAGCGTTTGACTATTAAAACAACCCTCAATGATAAAGTTTTTTGTTATTTTTTTTGGGGAGGGTCTTTGGACCAAAATCATTTCAGATGATGACTGTGAGAAGTAGGTAATTCTAGTTTTAGTTTTACCAAAGAGGGAAATATTGCAATGAATATGGGACATCCCAATTGTTGCATGTTAAATGGTAGTCACTAGACTCACTATAGTAGTCCGTCAGGCTGCTCTTAACATAATCCACAACTCAATTAGGCTGATAGCTATACTCCATGGACAAAACATATTTTTGTCAATGTGGTTTTTTGAATGTGAAAAATTAAGTCACATTAATATGGTTTAGTTTCCTTAACAATGTTACCATCACCATTATTCTTCATCAAAGAAATGGCAGACTTGCTGGCTGAACATTTTGTGGCAGTGTGCTTTCTGTTGGACAAGCTCATGTGTGCATGATATGCTATTTTTCGTATGTCCAAATGTTCTATTCTCTCTCTATGCCATCTTTGTAAAGCACTTTATACTCACAATTTTATCAGCTTCGAGGAACCATTTAATCTATTAGGTGGTGGTAGCTTATGTTTTTGACTTTTTTTATCGAACAAATTTTGAGTTGTTTAACATTTTCCAAKCGTCATTGTTTAGCTTATTCTTGGCTATATGTGGTTGTGTCCAGTGTTGATGCTTCCAAGTTTGAATGRAGTTRTATATTTAATTCTTGTAGGGTGAAAGATGATGAGGACAATGATATGGAAGATTTGGTTAGGTCTTTCTCTGGGCTTGAAGAGAAAGTCCTTGCACAATATACKATTGCWAAGGTGTAGAACAAGATCTGTAACTCAATTCACTTGCAAGTTTTTCCTTTCACAGGATTATGCAAATAATCTCATCAAACATGTGCCTAACCTTTCTTGTTTCTGATAGTTATCAATTAATCTTGATGTTATTAGCTGTTTTGACTGTACGGCGATCCTATATGGGTTTAATC